ATCAAAAGTTAATCTGATTTTATTCTAATAGACTTATTAGAAATTTATAACAGAGAGCTCATGTTTAGAAAACAGAGGAATAAATAAATATATTTTTAAAAAATAGATCTTTTTCATTATATCTGGGCAGGACACACATCAGTCTTTTGTATATCTACGAACAGCAACAACACACTAGGTCACATGTCTCTGGTTTAAGTGGTGAGGGTCAGCAGTAAGGCGGCTGTTACACTAGTGGGAACGGACATCTCCAAAAACACTGGCACACTTTGGCAAACGGGCTCCAGATCAACCAGATATTTGAAGATTACACCAAACTGAATATTTAAAAAGTGTATTCAAAGAAACCGTGGTATTTGAAAACGTGACTTACAGTTTGGGTAGAAAACAAAACAAAACAAAGGTTTTGACTCCGTCAGTGTTTGATGGGTGAGGATGACACGAACACAGGAACCATGAAATAATTACGGAAATTGGAACTAAATACACAATTTATTAAAAGGATCAAATCAAATTCATTTCTATTTAATATATATGTCATTATTAAATGATATTAAATAATTATTAATACATTAATACATTAATAAATATTAAATAAATGGGCTATTTCCAATTTGTAATGAATGAATGAGTTCTTTAATTCATTTGGACACACTTGGTCCTGGACTCACACTCGGGCCCACCGCCTCACTAACTCAATTCAATTTGATTTTCTTTATGTAGCACCAAATGACAACAGTCACTTCAAAGCCTTTGATGTTGTAAGGTAAAGACCCTACAGTAATAAAGATCAAGCCCTTTGGCAAAAGTGGGAATGAAAAACTCCCTTTGAACAGGAAGAAACCTCCAGCAGAACCAGGCTGAGGGGAGGGAGACGGGACTAAAGACATGCTGTGGACGAGAGCCAGAGATGAATAATAACTCAGAATTAAATGCAGATTGATGTATGAACACGTGGTGAGTGAAAAAGGGGACAGAAGGAGAAACAATGCATCATGGGAATCCCTGAGCCATCACCCTCCTCACTGCTGCCCTCACCTCCTTCTTACTTTGGACTTCCTGTTTCCAGACGGTTAGTTTTCTATGTAAAACTGCTTCAGTGTCTCTTTATTTTTCTGCAGCCAGACAAATAGAAACAGTAAAAACAGTGTAGTTTCTCTTGCCTGCACATTTGCAGTACACGTTGACCTGGTACAGTACATGAAAATAAAGGCCCCAGTAAACATCAGACACTGACCATCGCGTTCTTTAACGGCATCAGGTGATGTCTAGTTTTGCTACCAAACAGAGTGATTTGTGTCCCTTAACGCTGGCATCAAACGTGTGACGACAGCAGCGTGATTGTAACTGCACGACCTGAAACTCAAGCCAAACCAACTAGAACGCAGATAAACCTTATTACCGTCTCTTTCTGTGGACCTTTCCACACTTTCCACAGAGAGAGACGTAATAAGGTTTATCTGCGTTAACTGGAATCAACCACAACACAAGAGCCACCGACCCAATGCTGTCAGCAGGTCTCTGTCACACAACCAAAACAGCTGCAGTGCACTGCAGAATGGAGACAGCACCCTTGGGTGTCCTGTTCTATCTGGCGTCATACAATGAGGGCAGAGCCCTGGTGGACTGGGTCACTGAGTAGACTGGGATCTGGGAAGTTTGGAAGCTGTTTACCGAACTGCTCCTGAGGACTTTTGGCTGGTCTGCAGTTAAGTGTGGGGTGGTTGTTAGATGGCTATAGCCACCAGTCATCTTAACACGACTCACTGAGCATCTTTGGCACTTTTTTCCTGCAGCTGTGAAGCAGTCTCAACACTACCCAAGCCTGCACTGCACGGTCTGATTAAAGGACAGGCATGCACGGCACGATGACCACACGTTTCTCAAGCTTCTCTGAATTACACCCTGCACAGCGATAACATGCAAAAAAGTCCAAACACTTTATCTGTGATGATTTCTCGTTTTAACAGAATCTAGTACAACACACTGCACTCAATATTTACTTCCCAAATGAGTGGAGTTAATGTTGCAGCTGATCAGTGTTAATAAACAAAGAAGAAATTCAGGAACAAGCCTCACTCTTCAGTGCAGGAGTCCACTCAGCAGTCTAGCTCTTTATTGGTGTTTCAGGGGTTTCTGGGGCCTTCAGCCTGGCTCCACTCAGCCCTACACCCACCTCCTCCTTACAGGTAAGTGACTGACTGAGCACCAGTGCCTGAAGGATGTCCGACAGGGAAACAATTCCCTCAGTGCTGGAGCGCTCGTCCACCATCACCAACATTTGATTACAAATTGTTTAAAGCTCACAAAATCATTGCTTCTATCTTTGGAGCTCGTGGGGCTTATTTGCTCCAAACTAAACATGTGGCCGTTCAATTCATTTCAATCAGCAGCTGACACTTTCAGAATATTTTCACCTTAGCATAAAAGTCATTGTGCAATGACACATCTAAAACAGGGACTCTGCCCTATTCTCACCCGTTAGAGCCATGCACACATGTTTTATATCATAGCTTTTGTGTTTATGTCATTGACTATAAAGATTTAACCATAAAACTGTTTACATCATGTCATGTTTATTAGCCAAAGTTGTGATTCAGAGTCATAATTTGAGCATTTAAATGATCATCAGAGTGATGCACCTCCAGGTAACTCGTGCTGTGAATAAAACTGAAGCTTGACTAAAACATGAAGTTTAAGGCTTGCTGTGATTTTACTGGTGAGTTTTGCTCATTTAAAAAGCTTCTGGTTTCCCTTCAAATGTGGAATGTGTCCCCGTGTCTACGCCGCTCCCCCGGGGAGGGAACAGGGAGAATGGGATGCAGCTTTCTACCACTTTTCTACACAACTTAATTCGTTTTGATTGGATCTCGTCTCTCCAGAATATTTTTTCATCTTGTTTTTATTCTTTGATAAAATTGTCAGCAGATGGCCCCGCCCCTCCCTGAGCCTGCTGGAGGTTTCTTCCTGTTAAAAGGGAGTTTCTCCTTCCCACTGTCGCCAAAGTGCTGCTCATAGGGGGTCATATGACTGTTGGACTATTATAAGGTCTACATTACAATATAAAGCGCCTTGAGGCGACTGTTGTTGTGATTTGGTGCTGTATAAATAAAACTGAATTAAATTTTATCATCGTTTTGTGCATTAGTTTCCTCGATGCAGTTACATGCTGGGGCAGCAGGTTGAGGCTCGCAAATGGCCACAGCCAGTAATGTTATGGGGATGGAGGTCTTTAGGGTGGTGCCACAGAGGCGCGTGTTGTCCAACATAAAGACGATGCTGGACAACACCTCCCACCCACTCCATGACGTGCTGGCCGGTCACAGGAGCACGCTCAGTGAGAGACCCGGACTACCCAAACGCACCACTGATCGGCACATTGTCATCTCATCAACAAGGATTGGTCAAACAAAGTGAGATTGGACATGTTGAACGTAAAAGGCAAATCAACTCTGTTTGTTCCTGATGCTCGAGTTTCATTCACATCCAAAGAACAGTTAATACTGGACAATATAACTTGATGAATAACAGTCAGAGCTTTTGTACTTACATCGGCCCCGAGTGATGTCGGCAGGTCACATTCAGCAGTGGGGCTTAAGTCCTGCCTCATTACCCAAACGGGTTCCTTTGGCTCATCAGGTGTGTAAGGAGATCTGACTGTTCTATTCTTCACCTCCTCTATGGCCTCCTTAATGTCTTTGATGGCTAAAGATATAGCATCCCTCTTCTCCACACTGTTCCTCACTGGCTCCTTCACAGGAGTCTCAGCCTGCTGCTTGGCCGACTTCCCTCGACTGGCAGTCTTGTTGCTTTTGTGAGAGAATTTGTCCGGTTGGCGTTTTTCTTCTTTGTCTGTGGAATCTTTTGCAGCAGGATCAAAGCTTTGTGAGCCTTTTTTAGCCCCGTTAACACTGTTATCAGTATCGTCTTCTTGGTCGCAGCTGTCGACACGAGGATACGGAGCAAACTCTGCCTCCTTTTCTGGACTGTCCGACTCACCATCTGAACGTTCATCGTAGTGCCGCAGACGGGAGCCCACGGCCTCCTGCTGATGGTAATCGCCTTTTCCCGCCCCGCTCTGCAACAGCTGCAAGCCGGTCGCCGCCTGCTGTCGAGACTCTCTATCGTTTGCCACACTTGCAGAAGTTGACACTGAGGCTGGAGCGTCACATATTTCCTCATACACATGCTCAGAGAGCGAATACGTGTCATATGGCTCAGAGTACGCTTCAAGTCCAGCATCTAAACTTTCCAAGTCCTGACTGGATGAGACACAGGTTCTCGCCCCCGATTGGCTGTAGACACAGTTAGAGTAGCCACCATTCAGTGTCTCCTCTGCTTTATCTTCTCTTTGGGAATTCTGGATATTAAGTAAGGATTCACGTGGCAGCATCAGGAACTGAAGAGCATAGTTAGGATGTGAATGGAGATGCTGCTGTTCAGCCTCTGCACTTTCAGTGTACTCTTCTGCCTCGGGCCGCAGCGGGAGGCTGTAGCTGTTTGCATCATCCTCGGACTCTCGCTGGGCCTCAGGCTCCAGAGACATCATCACTGGGATATCGTCTCCCTCTGCACGGTCAGTATGGGTGTGAAAGCCGCTCTCAGTACTTGCTGAGCGGGCCAGCATAAAATCCTCCCTCTCACCTTCAGCTTCCTTGGTCATCTTAGCGTGCTGCTCCCTTTCCTGCTGCGCTCTCTCCGCCTCCCTCTGCTGCTTCATCCTGTTCCTCTGTTGTTGAGTTCTGAGCCGGGCCTCACTGTCGCCCTGTCTGCGGTAGCGTGTCACAGCAGGTCGGGGAATGGGCTGGATCTCGTGGGGCTTAGAAGACTGATCTCCATGTTGCAGCTCCGCGTCTTGCTCCTCCTGTGGCTTGTGGTGCTGTAGCATCCCAACTCTGCTTTCAGCATTTGCACCACTGGCCATTTCTGTTGTGACACCAGCTGAAGTCTCACAGCATCTGTAGCGCTTGTCCTGGTTGCTGTGGTTATGGGACAGGCTGGGGTGGTGTTGATGGCGGGAAGGACCATCCATCGCCTCCATAACGTCCTGAACAAACTCTGTCTTTTGGGGGTTCATGGCTGTCGGGTTGGTAAAGTGGTGTCAGAGAACGGCTTAGGAATCCATCATCAACAGAGCGAAGGCTGCTGGAAACGACTGCAATGGGTAAACAGAAAGAAAGAAAATGTGAGTAAACAAAAATGTAACAACATGAGCGAAATATGTGTCTGCTCCTACGTTCTCACTGGAAGTGATACGGCGAGGACTTGCATGGTTAACAGGCAAAAACAGTAACTGACAAGCTAAAGATTCACACTTTTATTAAGCCAACACGTGTTAAAACTTCAGTTTTCACTTTTCTCTCTTGAATCTGTACAGACCAATACTCTGTGTGGGTATCTGCTTATCTCTGAAAGAGAAGGATTGAATAGCGCCCCATCTAACAGGTAACCATACCTTACTCTGTTTGGGACTCTTTGCTTTGGCTGTTTCTGCCCAAGTACCTGAAACAGTTTGAAGGAACTAAAAGGAGCTATGCTGCAAATATCAGCTGTCAAAATGTTCTCCTGTAACAGTAAGCATGTGTTCTATCAATACCACTTTCATCAAAGAGCCTTAAAATCCAATAGAATAAAAACAATCTCTAATTATATAAAATTATAATAATTACATAATATAAATATAATTAAGCCACTTAAACTAAAAAGGTGCGACGTGAGTAGAAGCACATTGTATGTCCTACCACAGCTCGGTATCTTTTAAACCTTTGTTTCAGAAATATCAGAGCCAAAGTGAGTGAACATCTTTTCTACAAGAATGACGTGGCACGAGGAAGCCCCTCCCCCCTCTTTTCCTCTGGTAATCTTGTCACGGAGCCCAAAGTATGCTGAAAAGAATCCAACACCACAAACAGAAAAGCACAAGAAGTTCTGTAGCCACTGGTAGGACAATCTCATACATGACATTTCTAATCCCCATAACGATATAAATCTCAAAATAGTTTATTTTCTGTAAATTCAGTGAATCTCAGGCAACTCGACTTATGTGAAGTGTTTTCAGCTGGGTGTCGCCTATAAGCGCCATTTACCTCGTGTTTTTATTGGAGGTCATCTGTTTGATGCATATTCAGAAATTTGATGTTACAGAATAATGTCGATCATTTCCGTTTATTTTGAAAAGTCTCAATGGGATCTTGAGCTTTATTGTGAAAGTTTACGAGGAAAATAAACAAGCGGAGGGTGGAGCCACACGATGGTTTTACCGTCGTTGTTGGTAACGAAAGTACGTGTAAAAACAGACGCTTGTCCCTCCACAGTGTGGTTATTTTAAATATAAGAGAAGCCACTCTAAATCTTCCCCATGGTAACGAAAACTATTTTAAAGAGTATTTTCCTAAGTTTGAAATTCTAATACTGTGACTACCTGTCACGTTACCCACTGAGACATAAGCCTGGCCGAACTGAACATCATTACTTAAAAGTATAAATAACTTCCACAGTGTACGCACTTACCAGTGTCCATGTAGTCCAAATCCCAATATTTAAAAAAAGGGACACATGAATAAAACTATACAGAAGCAAAAATACATTCTTAGAGTTTGTAAAGACTTTTCAGTTTCAGCATTCCCGCTCAGGCCATCAAACAGCATCCTTGTTTGAAATCATTAGCAAGATGATCCACAGCCGGGTGGAAATTTCACCAACACTCCTTCAGTAGCTTTCATATGCACTCCTGTCTGGAACAACCCCAAGAAACCACTATACTGTTGGAAATGGATTAAAAAAGATCTGGAAATGATTTCTCACGATAACACTGCTGGCATCCCAGCATCGCCCCAGCCCCATACTCGTGGATGGTTAGTTCCAGATTCCTGTAATGGGAAAATTTCCATTTTATTTACTATTTATTTATTCATTTCTTTTCCATCCCCCTCTTGGCTCACCCTTCTGGTAACCCAGCTATAAAAACACATATACACAGGACTTAATGAGCTCTGTAGAGGTTTCATTATACATTTGGTCTGCTTGTTACGTTGCTTATGTTAAATATTAGTTTTTAATTTCTTGTCTTCATGAACGCTGAAACGAACACGTATAACTCGGGTGGACAAACACAGATACTGTATGTTTATTTTCTGATTACATTTATGGCAGATCTAATAATCAGCAGTGTTTGTATTTTAAAGATGTACAGTGGCCTCTGTGAGCCTTTTCCTCTGTTCTTTAAGGACGATGATCTACATTTTAAAAATGTGTTTTCAAAGATACTTAGATAAAGTATAAAGAGACCTCTGTTAGCATGTTAAATGCTAAAGTTCACCACAGTACGATCACAAAGACTGAACTTGTCTGTCTTATTTGGAACGGTTGCCATGGCAAAGCTTTTCCTCTCTAAGAACATGGCAGGTTTAGGTGTGCAAAGTTGTATCTGGACAAACCAAAAAACAGCTACAAAAACCTCATAGCAGCTGTCGAGCGCGGAGGAGGAGGGGTGATGATTGAATATGATTCACTCACTGAATACCAGAGTATGATCAGATAAGAGATGGTCTATTCAGCAGCTAAAGCTTGGGCCAAAGACGCTGAACACACCAGCAAAATCTGCAACAGAATATCTGAAAAGAAAAAGAATCAAGTGTTGCAACAGGCCTACGTCCAGATTTCAGATCAATGCCATGTGTGCATAAACAAATGACTGCAAAGCTCAACAAACTGAAACAACAGTGTGAAAAAGAGTAAGCTGGAATCCCTCCTCAGCAATGTGAGCGACTGACAAAATGACACAGAAAACACTTCAAACTACAAGCGCCTGTACGCACTGTTACAGGATTAGAAGCATTGATCTCAGCGGTGCAGTCCTGTGGGCACTTTTTTCTTACATAAAGATTTGACACTGTGTCTTATTTGTTATGAGATTTGTGTTTGGGAACATGAGCCACCCGGAGCTGGCCTCAGATTTCCTCCTCACGCACAGACAGCCACGCACACGTGGCTCCATGTGTGGGACTATTGTACTTTAATATTTCCAGCATCACTTTATCTTTGTCTAAAACACTACAGTAGTCGTTCCTATGTTTGGTAGAAGTCACCTTCAGCAGGAATGAAGCACAACTACCCACATTTTCCAATTTCATCCAGGTTTTCTGAATTTTCTGCACAACCAGCAGCTTCCTGTCAACAACTACATCAGCAAAACATCTGTTTGATTTCAGCTTCTGCTTTTACAAAAGCTCAGCTGAAGTCCTGCTTTGAATGAAGCACGCAATAAGAAACCTCGAGAACCATCTACCCGTCGCACCGAGCTGGATGGACTGGTTAGCCCCGCCGTGGCTCTGCACCTGGAGACAACAGGGCCTCTATGTGCCGATTTATTCATGTGGGTCCGACACAGCCTCACAAAGACACTGCCATTTTCCTTCACTCTGAATCCTGGTTTGACGTTTCATCTACGGAGCGCAGTTTTCCGTCGAACCACTCCTCAGTGAACAGACCGCGTAGCGAAGCTCCACAGAACAACAATAACAACAACAATAATGATGATGATGATGATGAGAACAACAGCCCCGCCCGGAGACGTTTGCTTTGTCCGCATCCCGGTGGGTCAGGCCTACAGCGAACAGCCCGGTCCTGAACACGAACCTGCTCACAGGAGTGATGTTGCTAAAGGATGCAGGTCCTCTGCGCTGCGGCCGCACCGTCCTCCATCTTCCCTGTAGCGGTGCGCGCGTGTGTGCGCGCGCGTGCTCCGCAGCCGTTCAGCACCTCCTTCCGCTCACCGCCACCGTCACGTTACTATAAAGCACAACAAATAACGAAGTTTATGCGTTTTTAAAAGAGAACAATGTCTGGGTGAAAAAGCTTCATATAGTCACACCGGGCAATATAAAATATATATATGAAAAATATATAAATATATA